GGTGTATGTATTAGTTAAAATGTGCTCGTTATAATGCATTGCAATTTAACACCATTTGTTGTGTTCTCTGCCACTTCTCTCTTATTTTAAACCTTGCCATCGTAAGACATCGAAATAACCTTGCCTGCTTTCTGAAATGAGTCTAACTTGGTGCCAAATCTGCCCAGACTTTTCGTTCACTTCCATGCGTAACATTTGGAAAGGCGCATTAATAGACTATCACACTGCCTAAAAGTGGCTTAAACAACTTGATTCTGGCAGCAACTTATGTTAAAGAGGTCTATCCATTCTTGATGAAAAATGTTAAATCATCATGGCTTGATTAAAGTGATTGGGGTTAACTTTCAGCTTTACTTGATGTGTGTTATACTGAAGAAGTCAGTAGTTTGACCCAAATTCATCCACACTTAATGATGTACGTAGGCAATTGCATTTTCAAGTTTATTCATTTTATTTCTTGACCTTTATGTGAACATTTTAAATCGCATTAGGATATTTGGTACATAATAGATAGAGAAGAGAAAGTCTTACTGTGTGCAAACTACTCTTGCCTGTTTGACAATATGCTTCTACATTTACACACTCACCCAAACCTCTAACTAATACTTAAGAATCTTTGAAACAAGAGAAATTATCAATACAGCTGAACCAATCCAGGATGATCCGCTTTGCTTCGCTATCGGTATTATGGTGTCCAGTGTGCTCTTATAAATTACATTAAAAATCTAATGTTAAAGAAGAACTTTAAAGTATTTATAACCTCCTAAAACTTAAATCGAAATACCGGATTATGTGATATCTAAACCTATCACTTACCAATTAAAATGAATTTTTACCCAATTTTTCCTCCAAATAGAGGGACATTGACTTTGTTTAAAGGAGGATTTACACTTAAAACTGCCTTAGAAAAAACAGTTATTTAAAATTCAGGCACTGACTTCCTTTTCTGAGCTGGTTTTTAAAAATCTGGTGTTTAGTGATGTAGTTTAAATGAATCCTATAAGTGACAAAAAATGGTTTGCTTTCTAACTGAATACTTGTTGTCAATTAGTCCAAATCAGGAGCGTATTTTAAACCTGCAAATTGTACGACTTACGTAATGAAACTACAATGTTAGGAACTACGTAAAATTAAAATATCCAAGCTTTTATAGAACAAATTTATCAAATTTTTAAAAGAATTTGCAGAATTTATACCTTTTCGAAATACAAAGGCGGTACCACACGTGACTACAAGTGGCAAGTCCTTCTAAGGCGCCTGCATTTGGCTGTTAATCCAGATGACAGACCTAGTTCTGGTATGTGGTAGCATGGGACAGGATGTGAAGATAGTGTTTTGAGATCATGGAACCGACCTAAAGTTTGGAAGCGTGTATACCTACTTATAAAGAGGACCTTAAACGCGGTCGGTTGGTGCTATCATTTTAATTACGACTTTACATCTGTACGCCAGTGGTGGTCTCATCCTTGCTTGTTTGTTTCCAGTTTACAGAACTGGTAGCCATTCTTGTAAATAGTCAGCTTGTGAAATATCTGCCTATTCATGTGGTGTAGTTAAATTTAACAGTAAAAAATCACAAACAGACCATGCTAAGGTGACTAAACACTGAGAGGCTTGTGAATGCAGCTAAGGATAATAGCGCTTTTTAAAACTGTTTTAAATGTGTGATTTTGTGCTATGCGATGAAATTGAACAACAGAGATTTTTCTAGTTGGCAGTTAAAACTATAAAAGGGTTAGGGAGAAGATGAGTAGAATTCCCACTTCCAAATATTTGGATTCCGCAAGTTCTAATTAGAAGTCATCATGACCTTCTATTTTTTATTATACTTACATTTTAGCTTTAATATACTGCATTTCCCGAACCTTTGTAACTTCGCTTAAAGTACAGCTTATTCTGTCCGTGTACATACTCGTTTTTAGCAAAAAATGAATTTGCAGCTAAGCAAAATTTGCTACAATTGCCAGTTTAGGCAAGAACCTTAAACTATATTCCATAATTCACAAACTTATGTTAACTTTCAGTAAAAGTTACAATGATCTGCCGCAGAATTTTGCTAATTAGTTTTCATCCTGCATAATATGGCCATGTCACATGCTCGCATTTCTGGCTTTTACTTAAATTTTACGGTAATGAAACATTGTTTTACTTGGCAGTGGTTCTGCGTTCATTGGAAAATTTGTCCTAGTTGGCAAAGTAACTGCATATTTAAATTTTATATTGTGTAAAACAATAATAAAAAACTATATAATTGTAAATGTTTTCATACTATATCTATGTTGGAACAAATACGCCGAGTTACAAGCTGCACAAGTAATTTATTCTAATCATCCTATAAATGTCAAACAAAGGAAAGAAAATTGCCTATAAAATGGAAGAAGAACCTACTAATTGCAACAGATGGCTCAAATAATTAGGACTAAATTAGAAGTTTTGCAAAGATTGCGGTCAAACAGGTGGTAAAACATTCAATTGTAAACTTAAAAAATCTAATGGTTGGTTACTTTTATTTCCCATAAATAGACCAATTACCTTGTTCTCCATATATATGAAAGGGCAAAATACTTTAAAGTTATACCATTCGCGTTTTGCTTTACTGAATCAAAGACCATTAGTAGACAAACTATTGTGACAAGTGAACCCCCGAGGCTCCTGAAAAAAAAAATAAATTGATATTGCTAAAATCGTGTGCGCTTCAGCTGTGATGAACTTTCAGCATCGTTTTAGCCTCTCTGTACTTGTGACACGCGGAATTCAGTGCAGAAGTGCAAAGAAATAAGACAGAGTGCTTCAAAGATGACTCATTTCAAGATTCGCTTTACACATTGAATACTTTACATCATCTTCGTTACAAGCTCCATGCTACCAATTACATCTGACCCTGATTCTTAAAAAAATATGGTTTAGCTAATTACCCTATCACATACTTCATTACGGGAAAACTAAAACGCGACTGCTGGAAAGTTTTTGCAACGAAAACTTTATTTGATCTTCACACTCTCCATTGTTAATGAGAAAAAAAAACAATACACTGAGCCACTAAATGTACCCTTAGGATATATTTACTCCCTCGTTCTTGCCATATACTGCTATGGTAGAGCCACTGCGCTCCTGTCAACCCCACCTGATATGGCCTTGCATCAGCAGATTTGGTTCTGTAGTTACGTTTCTTTTGACATCCAATAAGCCCCTTCCCTCAGTCACACAATCACTGCCATGCTAATTCCAAAAACCAGCCTGTAAAATGTTAACTTTGATTTGAAAAGGAAAACAAACCAGCACTTGCTGTAGAACCAAATAATTCGGATTTCGCTTAAATAAAACTACTTAAAACAAATCTAAAATTAAGTGCTTCCATTTCACTCTGAAGGAAACTTGTAAACAGGATTTTTTCAGAAGCAAAGTGATAATTTTTTGTCATGAATATTTATGGCAGGCCTTCTATAGAAAGGATAAGTTGTTTTGATGATTCTCTGCTGATTTCCCTAAAACAAATCAAACTTTTATATCGCAGTGAGCTGACTGGGTTCAATAAAATCTTAAAGAAACTAATGAAGTTGGCTACTAATACAGGTGTAGGGTAGTATGATAGATAAAAATAGTCGATTCTTTTATTTTTTTATTGTTATACCAAAGTAGTTTTAGAAGGCAGGACAGAGTTTTCCAGAGATTGTATAATTCTGACAAAATATGCATTTTGGATGGACAATAAATATGAGGCCGGATGACTCGAAAATTCTCTCTTTTCCATAGAGCAACCTCCTCAATGCCACATTCTACAGTCAATAATAACTGATGGGGTCAATGGCCGTAAGCAAACCATCACTATGGTGGTCATCAATCATGGCGGATGAGTTGCCATTATCCAGTTTTATCAAAGTGAGCTTGGATCCTGCCGAAATCCTAACAAAAAAAATTAATTCACAAGACTTTTCGATAGATGTCTTTGCCTACTGACAAGCATAAGTAAGCAAGGGGGTATGACGAATGCGCACGTGATAACTGGCTGACTAAAGTCTGCTGGAGGCGCTTGGAGGTTCCAGCCTAGCATATTTAAAGTGGTGAGCAGTAGTACACTCAAAGTACAATTGAAAATTATATGAACCAATTGAGAGGGTCTGATCTAGAGCACGACACCGAAGAATCATCGGGAAGTGGCCACAAAACTGAAATCTAAAAATTGAAACAAAAGTTTTCTGGAGTTACATACTTGCACACATTCTCCAATATCCAATGGTCCTCTTCAAAATATGCAGACCTTTTGGGCGTTTTGATGTTGAGCAGTGAGACTGAACCCAATGTGATCGTACCCTTCTGTATTAGCATTCTTAAGAAGGTTTTAATTTGCCACCACAAGCGTGCACTACCATTGATGTCCACCATGTTGATTGGCGATATCTAATCCAGGACGTGTGTTTCTTCCATAAGGAGTACCAGGCAAAATTTGTCATCGTCTGCTGTGTGTAGTACCACAGCAGTAGCATGGTTTCTTTTAAATGTAGGTGTAAAATCAGAAATCTGGGTTAGACTTGAACATTTTTCGCATCTGGAGATACCACTGTTTTGCCACAGTACGAGAAACCGATATAAATTAAGTTAGGCGGTAACACAATAGTATTGATATAGCGCTGCATTGGAGAAAACGAATAAGGTGAGACTAGACCTCAGAGTATTTTGTACATAGGGTTTGCTTTGAAATAAACGGTCTCTTTCTTCTGCAGACTTGGAGGATTCTTTTACCGCAGCATTATGCAAATATATATCCTCCTGAAAAGGATAGGTCAATGTGCTCTTCAAATGACCTCATGGTAGATTATAATTAACTAGAATATATTTCTATTAGGATCAGAGTCAGATCTTATCCACAGAGAGGAATTGGTATCATAGTCGACAGAAAGTGTTTAAGTTATTAGGTAGGATTTTAAAACATATTGTCTTTGAAGCATTCTCTCTACCTTTTTCACTCCTGCACGTAAGACAGGAATGAAGATGCTGAGGCGATGGTGAATGCTCAACACATTGAGAAAGGCAATAATCTTGACAGCAGCGGTGTATGTCATGAATTTCAACCTAGATTATTGGGTATGTCTTTATGGATTCCCTTTAACATAATTAAAAGTAAGGCTGGTTCTCGTTACGTAAAATTGCCCGGGACTTTTGCGTACCTCAGAAAAACACCACGTAAAATTTGCTTGATTTGTATCTTTAGATGTGACTTACTATTCATCTATATATTTTATTGTTGACAAATTTTCTCACTGTGAAGTTTAAATCTCCAGGACATTCCGTTTTTCCAAAACGCAAAATTTACTTTTATTTCGTTTATTAAAACTGGGCCTATTTTATATAAGCGCATTTTTACTCGAAATTAGGTAAATGTTAATTACAAAAAGCAATTTTACCCGTCAGTCTGATTCTCAATTTCTCTAAAACTTATTTTTATTTGTCTACAGTAACTTAAAATCGATCTAAGACTTTCAAACTTCAGAAGGGACTCCGCTTTTTGAAAAGCCTATCTTTTGTAAAGTAAGAAGTTAATAATTTCAGTAGCTGAGTCTTCTTTGTCCACAAAATAATAAAGGTATTTCAAATTAAAGGGTGCGACTGGAGCAAACGTCGCTATTATTTTGGAATTCGAATATATTGGGGGACTGAAAAGTCTCTGTAATTTTTGATATAACTAGCTGTAATAATTTGCAGTAACACGTAGTGTTAAATAAATGCGATTATATATATATGTATGAATTACAAAGCGTGTAAATTTGTCAGTGTATTAGTACGATATTACATATGGTGTTTTTCACTGCCATTCTCTTACTTTGAGCTCCTATATCATCAAATGACAGTTAAAATTGAAGTATGCGTGTTAAAATATATTTTTTCTGCCGATGCATTACTGTCTAAATCAGAACAGTACAGTGTCTAGATTTACTTAACCTCCCTAGTTTATCTTACTAGAACTCATACGTAACGTCTTGAAGGCGAACTGAATCACAACGGCCTATTTGGGAAATATTTTTCTAAAAAACCGATTTGACTCGATATATTTTGTGTGTTAATAGTTGTTTACATTCGCTTTAATCGAAAATCAAAACCCATTTAGTAAAACATGAAAATCACGAAAATTAACTTAAATTTTGCCCTAATCTTACTTTTTTTTGCTTTTGATTTAGTCTTTAGCACTATCAGACCACGTACCTAGATTTGTTTTATTTTTGTCATACTCGAAGGTGTTATACGTCCTCATTTTGCTATTCGTTCCTTTATTAAAAGCAGATGTTTTTGCATAGACAATTTGAACTTACTAGAGGAATGCTACTTCATCAATCACCATAGCATCGAATTGAGCGGTCTATTGAGTCTGCGAATTCTACTGTATTCCCTTGAGTCATCCATGATACATCAGCTAAGTCTGTCGTATTAGGGACTGAATTACAGTGGATTAAAAAGAAAACACATCCTCCGGATACAAATCAGGAAATGGCTTTTAAATTTACTATCCTTTGGGACTTTTATTCGCATCAAAATATTTGTACAACTCACCTCAATGCTTTAACAAAATTCCAGTTTTTCACCTTCCTAAATTTTCTTCTTTTGCGGCTGTAATATTTCATTGGCTGGACTAATATTATGCTATAAGGAGTTACTTTAAATGAATACTTTTTTTCGATACTTATTTCACTCTCATTTTTATGAGAAAAACACGCAATCTCGTGAGGTGCACAAAGGCGCATCCTTTCAGTTAAGGCTTAATGTGTCAGATCCCTGATTCCCAATCGCTGAAAGTGGGTTGATATATTCGAAAAGACTAATAGGTAATTAGATGAGTAGCTTCTTGATGGATGACTTACCTCTGATGCGTAATGAACAACAACATTTCAATAACAGTTCCATCAACCCTTCACAACCTCTCTATCGACTAATTTAAATATAGACTATAAAACGCCTCACAGCAACCTACTCCATTCCTATGGCTAAACGAAAAAGTAGCCAGATGTATCCACTCAACATATTTTACCCAACTTATTAGAAGAGCATTTCACGGCGACACTGACGAAGAAAAAGACGGTGGAAGATGATATTTAGTGATAACCCTGGAAGAGGGAAGAAAGAGACACAGAAAATCAGCGCATTACTGTCTGTCGTTTCTTCCGCTAGGAAACAAAAAAAGCATATTAAGGTGCAGGAATAAGAAAGGAAAGAAGGGAGCGTAAGTAATAACAGCGTTCTAAGTGCTTGGGAAGATATTTATTTCTGCGTTGTGTACTTAATATGGAGTGTTTCGTGTGCCAAGGTCATGGTCTTTTGAGCAAAAGAAGGCCTAAATTTCTGACTCACTCAGCCGCACAGAATCAGTAACTTCCTTTGGTCTGAGCTGGGCTTAACGTATCAGTGCCCGTATAAAAGTCACACCACTTTGTTTTGCTCCTTGAATTGCACAGTTAAATCAGTAAGTCAGTCAATGGGTTGGTGGATAGGTAGATAGATAGCAATAATAACAGAAGAGAGGGGAGCAGGTGATAAAGATTTAAAAGGAATGAATTTGAGCAAGGCAGAACTTTGTTTTCCTGGTCTCTTGGCTGCAGTCGGCATTTTTATTTTCCTGTTACAGTGCTCATTTCCGCTTCTTCGGTCGTCGCAACAGCTCCATCATCCTTTTAAACTCTACAAAAAATGCGAAAACCAATTAAGAAGCTTTATCAAGTATGAGTGGTTTATTATAGGGCAAAGCAGATTGCTGAATCGCCTACTCATAGAACCATATTTAGCAAATTTCGATCAAAAATAACTAAAATTTTATTAAGTTTGTGCATTTAAAGTTTATAGTAATAGGACCTGCCCTGATATTGTGGAATAAATTATATTTGGACAGTTTAAAATTTAATTCCTGTTGAGCGATAGCCAATCTTTACTAAAAAGTCGTCGGTTCACTCAGGCACTTTTGAATCCATGAATACAAGAGGATTAGCTACCGTGACGATACTACGTGCCGTAATGAAAGGCTAGTGTACCCCGTTAGTACTAGTAATACGTTGTATCCGTTGTGTCCGAGCGTCAGTTGTGTCCAGGCAATGTTAGTCAAGATAATAAGTAACAGTTTTAGTGTGCGCGTGCATGCATGCAGTAAGCAGCGTTTAGTGGTAAAACTTCTAGAGAAACCGAGAAACACAGCCCAAACTCGATGACATCTACCACTGCAGAAGACTTCAGGTACTGTTCGGCACAGTGATATCGAGCTCAGACGCTATGCAGCAAGACATTCGATTAAGGAGTTTTAGCGCTCGTACGTCTGTACATCAGTAACGATCCCAAAGTTGACTCCTCATTCCTGGCCTCTAATCAGCCAGAGCGTACAATTTCTTTCCAGCCATTTTTTGAACTACGCAACATAAAGACTTAATACGCGAAAGCAAAAAATTGTTCCTAAAAGAACACAAATGAAATTTTAAGAGCCATGAAATGATTTGATACAGGTCGCAGGTGAAGTTGGACTCCCTGCACCTCCAACAATTATACGTTTTAACTATTTATTAGACAGCTTCTCCATGCTTTAGCCTCGAATGGAACAGAATGCTTAACATCCGCAGCAAAAACTCTAGGAGTTACGACTCAGTTTGGCAGAAGATCTGTATGCTATTGCAGCTGGTAACGACTCAATTGAGAACTTCATTCTACGTGTCACCGACTAGAGACCACCTTTCAACCCGGTAAAAGTGGCAAGTCTTAGTTTCATGGCTTTACGTAACATAGCTACCAACTCCTAAAGGTCTGAAACCAACAAGGCAGAGACCCAGTTTTTTGTGCTTGTCAATTCCTCATGTGTTAGGTCGAAATACATAGTCTTCCCCAAACTTGATAAACACCTACAGTAGCGACTGACAAGTCAAGCAACTATCATTTACACTTAAGAATCAGCCGATTAATTTCTGAAATTCTCTCAATTATTTTTATGACAAAGACACTATGTTTCTGAAAAAAAGTTAGTCCCAGTTTAAATCCAATTATGCTAGATATTCCATTTATGGTAGAACGTGGAAGGGGTGTAACAATTTCCCCATCAAGACTTTCCTAAAGGAAATTCAGAGGCAGGCTAAAAAACTGACTATTTAAATTGAGGCAGTAAAAGTAAAGTCAAAAACAATAATGATGCAAATTAAAAAATGACTGATATATTTCACACGCGAATGGGGCTAAATTTAATTCACCGTTCCGAGAACCTTGTCCATTCGACTTAATTATGTTCGTGTAAATATCGCTAAAATCCGGCAAGGCTTGGATGAATGGAGGGATAGATGGACACAGAATGTATACGGGACGGATGCATCGACATCGACTGCCTTAGATCATAAAACAGCTTAGCCCTAGCTCGTATACACCTCGTAAGTTGCATTTTGCTAGCTCTACTAACGTACTATATTGCGTGATGCGTATTCTGTTCACTAGCCAGTTATCCTTTGATCTGTTTGGAGTTGTCATCAGGACTACACTGGGTCGTAGGTAGTAGTTTCGCAACAAAATTTGAAAAAGAAAAGGTTTTTTATATTCTCTTAAAATGACGAAAAATTCTTTTAATTTGTTCAGAAATATCCTAAAAAATAGTAATGTTTGAACACACCATTTCAAACTAACTTAAAACCCACAGATTCTTGAAATCTTAAGCGTCCTTACCAAATGCAATAATATCATCACGACTTAGATAACTTTTTAGTGAAACAAGAAGACCTTCCTAAACACTCATCTCTTCTATATAGACATTACGGAATAGGCCTTTATCCGATCAACAAATATAATCCATTCCCTTTCTGATCATTGGGATCTCCAACTCTCCATTCTGGCTTATTAAACTCAGCTTCTCTGCTGAAATTTTTCAGAAAGACCAACAGACTCCATCTGTAAACAGTCACTTCTCAAATAACCACGGTCTCCCAAGGCATTAGCAGTTGGTGATGCGAAAAAAACACCTCCACCTCTCTCCCTTTACCAGAAAGTAAAACATATTTATTGAATAAAAAAGTCAAAATACCAGACCTCTTTCATTTAAAATAGCCAAATTAAAAAAGCTGTCGGGTGATAAGGGTGATGGTGTGATACTGGTAGTGGTAGTACCACGCTCAGAGCTGTTTACGACCTAGGTCGAAAGATGAAAGCCTTTTACCTAATCTAGCACGCAAGGAGAGGTGAAAAATTTTAATCATCACAGGGCATTGGGCTCTGGCTGTCCAAAGGTGGGGCATGGTAGAGAGAGTTGGTCTGAATTAAATTGAACACGGAGGAGTAGACAAACAGAAATCAGTTTTTTTACAAGCGCTGTAGCGAAATAAAATGCAAATTGCTTTTATTTGAGAAAATTATTTCAAGGCAACGATAATAAATAAGTAAAATACTAAGAAATAAAAGTTGCATAATAAAGAAGGATTGGACATGAAGGCTCTACCCATGGAGAAATAACTCATTTAGAGAATCGTTACCAACTGCAACCCGAAAAGGAATGCGCAATTAAAGGTCACTATCACCGCAAGACAAATGATTAAGCGGCGAAATTCTCTTAGAAAATTCAACATAAATGTTGCTGAGCCTCAAACCAAAGGATCCGTATGGTATACACGATTTGACGTAGTAGACCACACGTCACATAGGCTCCACGGTGGTTAGGTTCGCAAAAAAAAGACAAATAAAAATTAGGCGAATATATTATTGGACTCTAAATAAACAAATCTAACACAAACAGTAAAGTGTAAAAATAATATGCGGCAAAGTTAAATACAATTTATTTGAT